AGGTTGCAGTGAGCTGAAATTGCACCACTACATTCCAGCCTGGGTGACAAAGCTAGACTCCATCTTGAAAAAAAAAAAAATCCTTTTGTACAGATGGGATCTTACTATGTTGCCCAGCCTGGTATCAAACTGCTGGGCTCAAGTGATCCTTCCTCCTCAGCCTTCCGAAGCACTTAGATTGTAGACATGAGCCACTGCACCTGGCCTGTAATTTGTGTTTTAAACAAGCTCCTCACCATGATTCTGATTCAGGTGGTCATCCATTAACACTTCAAGAAGCACTGGTGGAGTATCTCAGGGTCAGGGAAGCCTGGGTCTAAATCCAAGTTCTACTCCAGTATTAGTTTGGATTCATTTCAGCTACGACTGATGGATACCTGATTAACAGAAGCCTAAATATGATAGAATTTTGTTTCTCTCATTTAAATCTTATTCTCTCTAGGAATACAGTCCAGGCAGGCCCAGTGATGCCACAATCCTTAGGGAACTAGACTCTTTCTGTCTTGTTGCTCCCTAATCCTCAGCATTCAGCATTTGTCTCATGGCCCAACATAGCTGCTCCAGCTCCAGCCATCATGCCTGCATTTCATGCAGCAGGAAAGAAGGAGAGGGAGGAGAAAGACACAATCCCTCTGTTTAAGGGCAATTCTTTTTTTCTTTTTCTTTTTTTTTGGGGGGGGTAATTGAAACAAAATTGCATATGCCACTGCAACTTGCCAGAACTTAGTAATTATGGCTAGAGCTGCTGCAAGGGAGGTGGGAAAATGCAGAAATGTACTTATCTTTTTGTAAATAGTAATATAAGGCGCACAAAGAGTGTCTAAAGAAGCTGAAACAGGCCGAGTGTGGTGGCTCATACCTGTAATCTCAGCTCTTTGAGAGGCCGAGGCAGGCAAATCACTTGAGATCAGGAGTTCAAGACCAGCCTAACCAACGTGGTGAAACCCTGGTCTCTGCTAAAAATAAAAAAATTTAATTAGGACCAAGCAAAACTCACCCCCTCCTCCTGGAGATGTTGCCCCAACACCTTCACAGAGTCAGGCCTCTGCCAGCCAGGAGGAGGGGACACAGTCTGCCATGATGTCTATAAATCCAGTGTCGGCAGGGGTGCCCATGAGACAGGCAAGTTTTGCTCAAGCCCCATTCCATGCCCTGAATCATGCGAAGTGCTCCTGCATTCTCTGTACACTCCAGGGGTTTTTGCTCTCTGGGAACTCTAACTCTGGCTTCTTCCTTCTGCTGAATTCTGAAGTCTGTGCATGTTTGGAGCCTCAAGGTGCAATTGCTGGGCTCTGGCACTGCCAGGGGTCTGCCGCTGACACAGTTCTGGGTACCACGTGGACGCTGAATAAATGCTTGTTGAATTATAATGACAACCATTATTTAATAAATGCCTACCATGTGCCAGGCACCATGCTAAGAACTTTACATATATTCTGCCATTTGACCCTGACAACTGCCAAGATCTTCATTTTACCAATAAGGAAATTAAAACTTGGGCTGAATGTTGTGTCTCACGCCTATAATCCCAGCACTTTGGGAGGCTGAGGCAGGAGGATATCTTGAGGCCTGGAGTTCCAGACCAGCCTGGATAACATAGTGAGACTCTGTCTCTACAGATTAGCCAGGCATGGGCATGATAGCAGGAACCTCTAGTCCTAGCTACTTGGGAGGCTGAGGTGGGAGGATCACTTGAGTCCAGGAGTTCAAAGTCACAGTGAGTTATGATTGTGCAACTGCACTGCAGCCTGGGCAACAGAGTGAGACCCCATCTCTAAACAAAAATAAATGGAGACTCACAAAGCTTAGGTACTTGCCAAAGTTCTTATAGGTGGTAAGTGTCAGAGCAGGAATTCGAAGAGGCAAATTCTTAGCCATAATTATCAAGTGTCTACATCCCTGAAGTGACCACCCCTCCCTCCCTACTCATACTGTGACAGATCCAGGAGCCTAGGCTCCCAAGAAAGGCAGATCCTATGTAAGCCGACGGCTCTGTGGGCTGACACCACAAGAAGAATGGGTTTGCTTGCTTGTTTGTTTTGAGATGGAGCCTTGGTCTGTCACCTAGGCTGGAGTGCAGTGGTACAGTCTCCACTCACTGCAACCTCTCCCTCACAGTTTCAAGCAATTCTCCTGCCTCAGCCTCCCTCATAGCTGGGATTACAGGCAGCCACCACCACACTTGGCTAAATTTTGTGTTTTTAATAGAGATGGAGTTTCATCATGTTGGCCAGCCTGGTCTCCAGCTCCTGACCTCAAGCAATCCGCTTACCTCAGCCTCCCAAAGTGCTGGGTTTACAGGAATGAGTCACCGCACCTGGCCAAGAATGGGTTTTTGTTTCAGCTTCAAACAACTGCAGAACATTCCTGTCCAATCTCTTCTATTTCCTGCCCTCAGTTCCTCAACACCCACTTCCCCACCAGCAATCCTGCACAGCACAGAATCGAGGCCACTTCCACTATGGAAGGTGTGGGAATGACAGGCCTTTCACCCACAGGGAAACAGGAAACCATTTTCAGAAAAGCAGCCTGGTACATAGCTAAGAGTCCAGATGCTAGCCTGCCACTCTTCAGCTCCGGGGCCTTGGCCAAGCCAGTGAGGATTAAGTGAGTACATACAGGTCTCATGAAGCACTGAGGAAGCTGCCAGTGAACTAACTACCCGCCCTCCAAGGGTTAGCTGCCATGATGATGGCTTCACCAGTCAGTACCAGCAGGAATCAGCAACCCTGGGGAGGGGGGCTGCTTGCCCCTTGTCTTTCTTTCTATAAGTAGTGACTTTTGACCCGGCACAGTGGCTCATGCCTATAATCCCAGCAGTTTGGGAGGCCGAGGCAGGCGAATCACCAGAGGTCAGGAGTTTGAGACCAGCCTGGCCAACATGGTGAAACTCAATCTCTATTAAAAATACAAAAATTAGCCAGGCATGGTGGCAAGCACCTGTAGTCCCAGCTACTCAGGATGCTGAGGCAGGAGAATCACTTAAACCCAAGAAGCGGAGGTTACAGGGAGCCATGATCACACCATTGCACTCCAGCCTGGGTGACAAGAGCAAAACTCCATCTCAAAAAAAAAAAAAAAAAAAAAAAAAAAACGGCCAGGCACTTGGCTCATGCCTGTAATCCCAGCACTTTGGGAGGCGGAGGTGGGCAAATCACGAGGTCATGAGATCAAGACCATCCTGATCAACATGGTAAAACCCCATCTCTACTAAAAATACAAAAAAGAATTAGCTGGGCATGGTGTCATGCACCTGTAATCCCAGCTACTTGGGAGGCTGAGACAGGAGAATCCCTTGAACCCAGGAGGCGGAGGTTGCAGTAAGCTGAGATCACACTACGCACTCCAGCCTGGGTGACAGAGTGAGACTCCGTCTCAAAAAAAAAACAAAACTTTTAAGTAGCAAGTGATATATGGTCACTTATTATAGAAAATGTAAAAATGTAAAGCTTCAGGTTTAAAACAAATCACCTGGTCAGGAGTGGTGGCTCACACCTGTAATCCCAACACTTGTAGGAAGCCAAGGTGGGTGGATTACTTGACATTAGGAGTTCAAGACCAGCCCGGCCAATTTGGTGAAACTCTGTGTCTACTAAAAATACAAAGATTAGCTGGGTGTAGTGGCGCACACCTGTAATACCAAGTGCCCCAGAGGCTGAGGCAAAAGAATCACTTCAAATGGGAGGAGGAGGTTACAGTGAACCAAGATCACACCACTGCACTCCAGCCTGGCAAAAGAGTGAGACTCAGCCTCAAAAAAATAAATAAATAAATTTAAATAAATAAAACAAATCACCTATAATTCACTCTCCCAAGATCATCTTTGTGGCTCTCAAAGCCATTAGCATCTGCTGTTGAGTCACCCTGGTCCCTGTCACCCAAGATGCTAAGGGACTGATGTCTCAGGGAGGAAAAGAGGTGGAAGAACAGGTCATGCAAGTGTGGCTGGCTTGTCCCCAGCAGAGAATTTTATGAGCAAAGCATTTCAGTGACTTTTAAAAGGTAAATCAGGCCAGACACGTTGGCTCATGCCTATAATCCCAGCACTTTGGGAGGCAGAGGTAGGCAGATTGTTTGAGCCAAGGAGTTCAAAAATCAGCCTGGGTAACATGGAAAAACTCCATCTCTACTCAAAATACAAAATACTAGCTGAGCGCGGTGCTATAGTCCCAGCTATTCAGGAGGCTGAAGCAGAGAGTCGCTTGAACCCAGGAGGCAGAGGTTGCAGTGAGCCAAGATCTTGCCACTGCACTCCAGCCTGGGTGACAGAGCAAAACTCCATCTCAAAAACAAACAAACAAACAAACAAACAAACAAAAACCTGTTTGTGCCTCAGTTTCCTCATTTATGAAGTGGGAATAACAGAACCTACCTCAGAACTGATTGAGGGTGAAATATGCCACGTGAGGTGCTTAGAATAGGGCCTGCCATACAGAAAGTCCTTGAGAAGCGTTAGCTGCTATTACTGTTGTTACTTTGTCCCACTGTCCCTTGCTCTCTCCCCTAGAATGCACACCCCAGCTGCCTGACCGTGGAGCCCCTGCTTCTAACCCCTCTGGCAGCATCCAAAGGCAAAGGCCATGGCAGAGCGTCTCCTCAGACGTCCTCCTTGTTTCATAAGGGGGTGTGGGACCATTCCAGAAATCCCTTCTGTCTCCTTGACTAGAACGGGATTGGACGCCTGCCCCTAAACAAATAGAGGCAGAGAGGAATGGGGATACCATAGGTACACACGCCTGACCCAGTGCAGGGCCCTGTTCCCATAGACTGGTGCTTCTCCAGCTCCAGGAGCCTCAGAGTCACCTGAGGGTTTTAAAAAAACAATTTCCAACAAATAAATACATAAATAAATAACCAATTTTCAGGCCGGGCATGGTGGCTCATGCTTGTAATCACAGCACTTTGGGAGGCCTAGGATCACCGGAGGTCAGGAGTTTGAGACCAGCTTGGCCAACGCGGCAAAACCCAGTCTCTACTAATTAGCTGAGGTGGGGTGGACACCTGTAATCCAAGCTACTCAGGAGGCTGAGGCAGGAGAATCACTTGAACCCGGGAGGCAGAGGTTGCAATGAGCCGAGACTGCGCCACTGCACTTCAGCCTGGGCGACACAGCAAGACTCGGACTCAAAAAAAAAAAAAAAAAAAAACCTTCCAGGTTCCACCACCAGAGGCTTCAGTAGGTCTGAGATGGGGTCGAATCTGCATTCCTCACAAGTTTCCAGATGAGCTAACGCTGCTGGTTCAGGGACCCCACTTTAAGAATCCCAGAATGGAAGAGGAGAAAAGATGTAACCCTGTCTGCACCCGCTGGCTCCTCCCGGGAGATTGGCATAAGGTGAGTGCCAGCCAGATCACCGTGGCTACACAAAGCCTCCGAGGTTTCTGCCAGCTCTGGGGGCTCATGTGCTCATGGCCACTGTCCTGCTTTTGCAGACTTTTTCCAGCTATCGCCTTTATTTCTGCCCTGGAGTTGACCCAAATGAGGGGCAAGAACCGCAGGACGTTTTTCCTGCACCCAGAGCAACTGCAGGCACAAGGCTGTTAAGCTGTTGTGTGAGCAGGATGCTCCTAAAGACACAGCACACGGGGACAAAAACAGAAATCACCTTCCTGAGGCCGCCCCACACTTGGGTTCTGAGGCCCTTTGCTCCCTCCCCCACCTCCTCATCTCCTCCTTCCTCTCTCCCCTGGGGCAACCTCAACAACTTGGCTCTCTCCCCACTCTTCTCCCTTCTCTGCAACTCAGCTGTAGTCCTGTCTGAGGCCAAACCCTTGAACAGGGAGCCAGGGCTGGAAAGTTGTGGAAATCCCCCTGTGGGAGCCTATGATGATGATGCCAAGGCTGAGCCCCAGCCTGGGGTAGGGGGTGCCCTGATCTGAGCAGAACCTGAGGGCAGACAGGAGGCAGCCAAGGCCTGGAGCCGGATGCCACCACCTCTACCCCGGAGGTTGTGGGATGCTTGGGAGCCAGGATAAGGCTGGGCTTCAGGTCTGCGCTACCTTAGTCCGGAGATGGAGTCTAGGAACATTGGTGGGGATGCCAGGGATTCTGTAGCAGTAGGACAGGGACAGGGTTGGGGGAGGTCCCTCTCACTTCTTTGGCTCTCAAGGTTGTTTACAACAGACTCCTAAGAAATCACTGAGGCCGGCCAGGCACGGTGTCTCACACCTGTAATCCCAGCACTTTGGGAGGCTGAGGTGGGCAGATCACCTGAGGTCAGGAGTTTGAGACCACCCTGACCAACATGGTGAAACCCTGTCTCTACTAAAAATACAAAAAACTTAGCCGGGCATGGTGGCGCGTACCTGTAGTCCCAGCTACTTCGAAGGCTGAGGCAAGAGAATTGCTTGATCCTGGCAGGCAGAGGTTGCAGTGAGCCAAGATCACTCTGCTGCATTCCAGCCTGGGCAACAGAGTGAGACTCTGTCTCAAAAAAAAAAAAAAAATAGGCTGGTCGGGGGCAGTGACCCACTCCTATAATCCCAGCACTTTGGGAGGCCAAGGTGGGTGGATCTCTTGAGCCCAAGAGTTCCAGACCGGTGTGGCCAACATGGTGAAAACCCTTCTCTACACAAAATTAAAAAATTGGCCAGATGTAATGAGGTGCGCCTGTAGTCCCAGCTATGTGGGAGGCTGAGGTGGGAGGATGGCTTGAGCCTGGGAGGTTGAGGCTGCAGGGAGCCAAGATGGCATCACTGCATTCTAGCCTGGGCAACAAAGTGAGACCCTGTCTCAACAAAAAAAAAAGAAAGGAAGAAAGAAAGAAAATTCTGAGGCTTTTAAGCCTCAGAGGCAGAGAGCCTGCTGACTCCTTGAGGTGTTCAGAGGTACAAGTTTTGGGGATCAGAGTTTAGAAAACTCAAGGAGGACCGTATCTTTCTAAGGCAGTTTGATTTTTTTTATTTTTACCTTCTCAGGTACAGGAAAAGTGACCGTTTCCTTCTTTGTGAATTTCCCACGGATTCCAAGGGGCGCAGACAGAACCTGACAGGGTGAGGACCCTCTTGGCTGTCAGCTTATTCTGAAATTTGAATTTCCAACTCACTCAGAGGAATCCAGGGGGAAGGGTTGTTATTTATAACCACAGTTTCCTTCTAAGGGAAGTAGATCCTGCTTCACTAAATAAAAGGCCCTTTTGTTCTTAAAAGGACTTTACTGGGTTTGGCTTGGCAGCCTGGTTTGGGAAGAGCAGGGGGGCACTTGGGAGAACTGAATTGCCTGGTCTGCTGTATGAGAACTGGAAGCCCCTGGGGCACCAAGGCAGGGGCTGAAGGAGGGAGGGGGGTAGATGGGTGCCAGCAGATGGGAACAGGGTTGGAGGATGCCTGAGAAACCAGCTTGTCAGAGCAGGGACGTCCCAGTGCCACTTTCAGTCGTGTGCTGAGCTGCCTCTATAACTCTTCCAGGGACCCACAAATCTTCAGTGAAATTCTGCTTACAGAGCAGTCTGGTATTCACGGTTTCTTGGGAGAAGAATTGGGCTGCATCTACATTTGAGTCAATTCCAGGGCAGAAATAAAGGGAACAGCTGCTAGAATTCAGCAGAAGCCGGAAATCAGAGGCACACAATTGTGAGCCTGAGAAATTGCAGAAGCCTTGTGGAAAGTAAGGGATGGGGTCTGAGCCAACTCTATTTCAATCCCAATGGGCTGGCGGACCCTAGCTACCAACCATGGGTCCTGCTTGGGGGCAGACATTTGCCCCCTGCTTCCTTGCTAAAAAAAGCTAGTTTTGTTCCAGTGGGAGGACAGATGTACTAATTACCCCCAGGTGGATGGTGACTGGGATAATTACATTTGATCCACTCCCATCGGCTGGTAATTGGGTTGGGGAGAAGCATGAGACTCTGTTCTGGCCAATGAAATAGGAGGGAGAATCTGCTGGGGGCTCCTGAGGAGAATTTTCCTCCTCTAATAAGAAGAGATGTCTTAGGAGGAGTGCTGCCCAAGCCTCCCTTCCTGAGATGCTGCCCATGACATGCAGCCACACAAAAGTGCAGGCTCCAGGGTCAAACCATCTGGGCTAAAAGCATGGCTCTGCCTCTGATTGGCTGTGTTGTCTTAAGCAGATTACTTGACCCTTCTGTACCTCGTGTTCCTCATCTGCAAAATGAAAATAATTGGACTTTCCTCACAGGGTGCTGCGAAAATCAAGAGTGAATACACTTAAAATGCCCAGACAGTTCTAGCACATGATAAGCACTCAATACATAATAGCTGTCATTTTGTTGTTCTCCGCGGATATGATGCTTGGAGCCATCGTTCTTTTTTTTTTAAGACGGAGTCTCGCTCTATCACCCAGGGTGGAGTGTAGTAAGTAGCTTGATCTTGGCTCACTGCAACCTCCGCCTTCTGGGTTTAAAGCAATTCTCCTGCCTCAGCCTCCCAAATAGCTGGGACTACAGGCACGTGCCACCATGTCTGGCTAATGTTTTGTTTTTAGAAGAGACGGAGGTGAACCATGTTGGCTAGGACGGTCTTGATCTCCTGATCTTGTGATCTGCCCGCTTTGGCCTCCCAAAGTGCTGGGATTGAGCTACTGACTACAGACGTGCGTGAGTCATCTTTCAGCCATGAAGGGCTTGACTCAAAAATAGTCTACCCCAAGATATTTTAAAACTCCTGACTTTTTTTTGAGATAGTCTCACTACATTGCAGAGGCTGGAGCCTGGACTGAAGTGGTGTGATCATGGCTCACAGCAGCCTTGACCTCCCTCAGACGATCCTCCTGCCTCAGCCTCCTGAGTAGCTGGGACCACAGGCACATACCACCACTCTTGGCTAATTTAAAAAAATTATTTGGGCTGGGCGCAGTGGCTCATGCCTATAATCCCACAGTGATGTGTACCATAGGATTAGGTATGTTCCCACCTCAATCTTCCTTTTTTTTTTTTTTTTTTTGAGACAGGGTCTCACTCTGTCACCCAGACTAGAGTTCAATGGTGTAATCACAGTTCACTGCAACCCCCACCTCCTGGGCTCAAGCAATCTTCCCACCTCAGCCTCTGGAGTAGCTGGGACCAGATATGTGGGCCACCATGCCCCTCTTATTTTTAGTATGTTTAGTAGAGATGAGGTCTTACTATGTTGCCCAGGCTGCTCTCAAACTCCTGAGCTCAAGTGATATGCTCACCTCTGTCTCCCAAGGTGCTGGAATTACAGGCGTGAGCCACTGCACCTGGCCTGTTTGTGTGTGGCGGGGAAGTGGCGGCAGGGAGAGAGAGCAAGGGCCAGAGTATTCAGCTTTGATTCAGACACAGAAGAGCCATTTTGAAGGTGGGCACAGTTGCCCCACCAGACATAAACCACCTAACTCCAACCTCTTACATACAAGAAAACAAATGATCTTGTTTAACCCACTGTATTTTTTTATTGCTTCACTGCAGCCGATCTACATGAAATTCCAGAATATCAGGAGGAAATAGTAGCACAGAAATACTGTCCTGTGGGTGTTACTGTGACCCACTGTATCAGTTATTGCTGCATAAAAAACCACCCAAGACTTAGGGCTTAAAACAGTAATGGTTGGCCAGGCACATGCCTGTAATCCTAGCACTTTGGGAAGCTGAGGCCGCCGGATCACCTGAGGTCGGGAGTTCGAGACCAGCCTGACCAACATGGTGAAACCCTGTCTCTATTAAAATCACAAAATTATCCGGGCATGGTGGCGCATACCTGTAATCCCAGCTACTCAGGAGGCTGAGGCAGGAGAATCACTTGAACCTGGCAGGCAGAGGTTGTGGTGAACTGAGATCACACCAATGCATTCCAGGGGGCCACAAGAGTGAAACTCCACCTCAAAAAAAAAAAAAAACACACACATAGTAATGGCTTGTTTATTTCTCATGATAATATGGGTTGGCTGCTGATTTTCCAGGGCTTACTTGTGCAGCTACGTTCAGCCTGAAGAATGGCTGCAGGCTGGGCTCAGCTGGGAGAGTGCAGATGGTTAAGCGTCCCTCTCCATGAGGTCTTTCATCCTCAAGGACGACCGACTAGCTAGGTTTCCTCACATGGTGGCTCCAGGACAGTTCTAAGAGAGTGAGCCCCAAATCACAAGTACTTCTCTGGCCTCCGTGTCATGGTCACTGATGTCCCACTAGCCAAAGTAAGTCACATGGCCAGTCCCAGCGTCACCGTGGCAGGGGCCTATCCAAGGGCGTAGACACCAGGAGGCTTGATTCATTGGGCCATCTGATTAACAATCAACCTCCCTCTATCACGCCCCATAAATTTTAGAAGCTCATTACAGATAATTAGAAATCCTAGTGCAGGACTCATTAGGCCATCTGCACAGGGACTAATACAGGATTAGGGGCAACTGAACTTCCTTCCCTATTTAGTCATTCATCACCTGGCTCCAAAAAAAGCTTCAGGTTGTTTACATAACTACAAAAGAGTTTTAAATGATAAAATTAAAAATGAATGTTGGTGAGAATCAGAAGACAAAGAAAAGGAAAGGAGAAAAAAAAAAGAAAAGAAAATATGGTATCAGGAGTAAGGTTAGAACAAAAATTGCCTCCCCAAGGGGCCCAGGCTCCTACTAGGAGAGGGACATGAGGTCTCAATAGACAGGGCTGGGACAAGACCAAGGAGATGGTCAGGGCATGGTGGAGAGGGTGGCAGGCGAGGATGTGGCCTTCCAGTGAGCACCAGCACTTTGTGCAATTTGTGGCACTCCTGGGAGCTGGGATGAGGCATGTGTCACCTAAAAAAATAATCCCATTCTCTGCATCTGGATTGCTTATAGAACAGGTTTAAATATAGATTCCTAGGTCCAATGTCTAGAACCTGTTTTTTTGTTTGTTTTGAAACAGAGTCTGGCTCTGTCACCCAGACTGTAGTGCAATGGCGTGATCTCGGCTCATTGCAACCTCCGCCTCCCGGGTTCAAGGATTCTCCTGCCTCAGGCTCCCAAGTAGCTGGGATTACAGGCATGTGTCACCACGCCTCGCTAATTTTTTTTTTTTTTTTTTTTTTTTGAGACAGGTTCTCACTCTGTTACCCAGGCTGGAGTGCAAAGGTGCAAACATGGCTCACTGCATTCTCGACCTCCTGGGCTCAGGTGATCCTCTCATCTTAGCCTCCCAAGTAGCTGGGACCACAGGCGCTTGCCACCACACCTGGCTAAGTTTTTTGTATTTTTTGTAGAGATGGGGTTTTGTCATGTTGCCCAGGCTGGTCTCAAAGCAATCCACCTGCCTTGGCCTCCCAAAGTGCTGGGATTACAGGCATGAGTCACGGCACTGGGCCTAGAATCTGAATTTATTTTTTCAGTCAGAACTCCCTCTGTTGCCCAGGCTGGATCTCAGCTCACTGCAACCTCCACCTCCCAGGTTCAAGTGATTCTCCTGCCTTAGCCTCCTGAGTAGCTGGGACTATAGGTGCATGCCACCAGGCCCAGCTAATTTTTGTATTTTTAGTAGAGATGGGGTTTCACCATGTTGGCCAGGCTGGTCTCGAACTCCTGACCTTGTGATCTGCCCACCTCGGCCTCCCAAAGTTCTAGGATTACAAGCATGAGCCACCGCACCTGGCAGAACCTGTATTTTTAACATGCTTTGCAGGTGATTCTAAAGCAAGTGGTCTTTGAACCACATTTTAAGTGACTTTGAAACCCTTAAGTGGGTGCCAGAATCTGGGAAGGATATTCACAGGGGAAGAACAGGTGAGAGGAAAGGTTCTTAAATTAAATGAGTGGCTCTCAGACTCTCAGGAAGATCCTAGAAAAGGGAGGGGAATGCCATGGGCTCTTGTACCTCCCTAATATCTCAGATCCTTTTTTTCTGCACAGAACACACAGAATAGCTATCCTAGTGAGTTTCTTGGCCCTCAGCAATATTACCTGCCCTAGGACCTGCCCCCACCCCTATACCATTGAGGCTGGGATTCCACCCCTTCCCTGGCATTGCTGATTGGACCAGGGGTGGGCACCTGACATGGCTGAGCCAATTAGATTCTCTCTGCCAGGAAACTGGAGCAGAGATAAGGGTCTTTGGTACCAAGTCTGGCTGTGCTCCACAGTGACAGCCCATGAACCTGTGTGGTTAACCTCCACAGAACTTCCCTGGTCCTTGCCCTTCCTGGGTCTTCGCTCTTCAATTTCCCTTTTTCCTGTGACACACTCTGGTGCCCTCCCACTGGATTCCAC